TGGATTAAATAAAATTGTTTAAATAATCGTTCTCTGGAAAAACGAGTATTTTCCGCTCGATCGCTGTTTGTACCATCGAATTTCAATGGATTCTGAGAATCGCGATGATCGAAGGATAGGGAGAATCCGTAGGGCACAAAGAAATCGGGTCACGTGGAAGCTGGGCCAGATGCTCTTTTTCAGGATCGACGGTGATCCCGAAGATAGACGGAGGCCCCTGTCCGGGCAGTGCTACCGGTACAAAAGGGCGTGCCGACGTTATCTGTCATCGGCGATCGCTGATACAGCTAATAGATCTGGGCCGATGCTCGTTTTGAAATAATTACCAAACGCGTATCGGTCGGCGATCTCTCAAGAACGAACTGCAGGTAGTATTTTCAAAACAAGAGAAGCCTCCTGGGAAACTTGCTCCAGTAATTTCCTCGTCCAAAGGAGATTAGATTTTCATTTAATTTTCTTGATCTTCAGAGATCAAAGAGAAATTTAGAACGCGTGTAACAGAGATTCTGCGGTGATCGTACGTCTAACATCTTCTGTGATATATTTGTTCTCGAGACTCTTCCCAGACGACCAACCGAAACAGATTCTTGAATCAGGTTCTGCAGGAAAGAATCATAATGCGAAGGAGCGATCCATCGTCCACTTGTTATATAATATTTTCCTTTTATTACTTTAAATAACATCAACTTTTACTTCGATTACAGTTCGATCGTACATCGTGTGTGATCCTCTTACTTGTCTATTCGTGCCACTTCCTCCGCTCATCTCCATCGTTCTCATTCACACAGTCACAGGTACTCATGCACAAGACCATTTCCTCTCATTCTCTGTCACACGCTCGTCCTAGCTCTCTTATATAGCAACTTGTCTTAGTTAAGTTGTGCAACGTTTAGGCTTGTCCGCTGAAATACACGAACGAGAAGAACTCTTAGGAAGAACTGTTGTCAATCCTTGCGTCGTAAAGCATTTCCATTAGTGGAAAAAGTATATAAAGTTTCTATTGTTCATGTCGATTTTTAAAATTGAAAGGTTCGATTGATCGGCACGAGCTGCCGGTGATTGGGCTGCGCGGCGCACAAACAAACGCTTCCCTCGAAACGGAAACGGTCGTCTCATCCAAAACCCCCCTCCCCTCCCTCTCCCGGCCCCGTCCGGCGAGGTGAAAAGGGATCTTTCCCCTCGATCCCCGCTTGTGTGCATTTTCGGAATGTATCTGCGAGTGGTGCTGCACCCCGAATCACGAGGAGTACGCGCCCGTGTATATACTGTGCCGTACAAAGCGTAGATTGTGCGTGAATCGAAACGGTTTTGGCTCGCCGTCGGTCTGCGATCTGAAAAGAGCGCTGCACCGGAACGTAGCGACAGTCTGGCGTGATTAAAACGAGTTTGAAGATCGATCGAAGGAAATGTTGGATCGTAAGAGCGTCTAGTGTAGAAATCGATCAGTAGAAACGCCGACGTCGAACGGACGCTTGTACTCCGACGAAATAAATAGAAAAATGAAAGACGCGGATTTCTACGTGATAAAAGAAAGAAATAAACGACCGTATGTTTCTGTTCGTTCAAAGGTTCCTCTGTCTCCTCTTACCCTGTTTCGTCCCGAGGACTCTTTCTAAAAGGGAAATCCTTTCCCTGCTCAGCATCCTAGATAAGAATCTTACAAGGCAATGTCGCAGCCAACGGAGGATGCGCTGCGGACATCTGCGCGAGAGACCCGTCCCCCTCGAACGGGTGAACCGATGAACTCTTACACTCATCCTCTCTTCTCCCGCGTTCCGTGTACGTCCGTCACCTCTCTGTGACACGCTCGCCGGCTTCCTCGTTCTCGCTCTGCCCTCTCCCTTTCATTCGCGTTCCCCAGTCACCCCTCATTCTCTCATCGCGCTAATTTCTCCTCTCGCTCGTCTTCGCTCTATTCTTCTATGTACAGACTGCGAACTGCGGATAAGTGATAACTTATTTACTAACTTACGCTACGACAGTGTTTCTCTTTATCTTATACCGGGCGTCGCGCGGAGCCAACGAAACCTGGCGATCTGCCTCGGCTTTTTGGTCTGCTTTCAGGATGTCTTTCCGGGCATTGCGACTGTTCAAGAAGCCGTTGGTACCGGTTACACGCTGTAAAGCGTCTCGCATAAAACCGACCGCCCGATGTAGCATATTATAAAAAAATCTTTGGTATCCTTTGGAAAACATAACATATATCTTTGAACGATTATTCAAATCACGTTTGCGATTTTCAGAACGTAACGAGGCGATCGGTTTTATGCAAGACACTTTGTACCAATTATAATAATGAAACGGTGGAATCATTGACAGTAACAAGGGAGCAGTTTGCCTCTTGCCAGCTAGCCAATTTTTCGATTAATCAGGATTCGTTAATCGCCGTCAACGCTGCTGTTTATAAAACAATTTGAGACAGCGGTTCTGCAAAGGTGTTGCTGATTCTATTTGCGATGAAAAGATTGGCAGTCGGCAATTGGCTGGCAGGAAGCAGCTGCTCCGCCTACCGTTCTCGCTGCCTCGGTCACGCTAATTTGCATACCGCGTTCGGATCTACTGTACATACACGCTCGTATAAGCCCGGCACGCGTGAAGCAATTAAAACGATCATTTTTCGTGTTCGGGCTTAATGAAGAGATACAGTCGGAACCGGTACCAAACACGGTGCTCTCCCCGGTGTTCCTCTTCCTCGAGCATCGCGCGAAAACTCTCGGACACCCGGAGAGGCGAGATCGCGGATTCGATACGAACGACGGCCGCGGCCATAAATAAGGACGAGCTTATTTTCGAGTAATCGCGTATCAGAGAGCGAAATTGAATCGTGGCTACGAGCATGATTCGCGAACACCCGGTACTTCGCCCAGTCCAGGCGAGATTAACTTAATCTTCTCTCGAACGCGTGTGTACGTGTGTACGTGTCTCTCGGTGTGTATTATCTACATATGTACATGTGGGACAAACACAGAAGCGTACGGGGTGAGAAAGGATTAGGTGTACGTGAAGAGCGCGTGTGGTTCGTTATAGCGACGTTAATTAATTAGCGGCCGGCTAAGATCCGTACACACCTCAGGGATCATTCCGAACTCTGTCCGCTGTACTATATCTTTGAAACAACATCGTTCCTCCCATAAGGGATACGTGCGTCCGTGTATGCGAGTATGTGTCGACCGTCGACTTCGGCCACGTCCTTTCCTCATCGAACGAAATAAAGAAATCTTGCCAATAAATCATTGTAATATTTTTTTATCCCTTGTACCCTTTGCTAGATTTTATTAATAGGTAAATAGTATTTTTTTTTTAATTATAGAAATGATAGAAATTAATGTTTCTCGTCTCTTTTCAAAGATCAATAATCTGTACGAATGAATCGATTTTTAATAAATAGAGGAGCATGGCTTTCGTCGAGATCGAGAAGCTTGGACAGTCTGGAACTACTGGTAACCGTAAATGGCGCGTGTTTCTTTAATTCGAGAAGTTGTACGAAAAATAGGTAGAACGACGTGTCCGAAGCGCCTGTCTGGAAATGTGACGAGGACTGTCTTGCGTCGCGCGGCGATACGGGAAGAAAAAAGAAAAATGCTAACATGTCTTTTGCTATTTTTCAATCGGAAGCGTTCTGCTGCTTCCTCCCTCTCTCACAGCTACTATTCGTATAATCGTACGTACTATATTTATATTTATATATTTATATATATATATGTACCTTTTTATATTGTATATTATCTACACGTTACAATTAGTCGAGTAGGTATATATTTACAATCGCACGCCCTCACACTAACACACACCACTTCTCTTTGCGTCATGTTAAAAATATCTGCTGTATAATTTGTCGACGTATCTTTCTCTCTCTCTTTTACGGTTTTGCATTTCCTTTTTCAACAAGTGTCGTCTCCTCGAGAATCGTCAACCCACCTATGTATTATATTCGTGAGAACGAAAAACGCCCCGGATACGTCGGCCTCGAAGCGTCCCGTTCGCGTGTGCCTCGGCGAGCGTACGCACGACTCGTTAGACCCTGTTGCATGTGAAATATACGCCAAGCTCCGGATCGATCGATCATTCCCTGCGAGCTGGCAGTAAGAGAACTCTTCATCCTTCCTCCCGCGCACTCCTCGACGTTCGCCCTCGAACATTTCGAATTTCAAATCACGGACGGCACCTTGAACGTTCATCCACCGGTTCTTAACTCCTCACGGTCGATTCCGAGCAGAGATCGTTACCACGCACAAGCTTCTTTTATCTTCCCTCACGTTCGTTATCATTCCTCGAACTTCTGACTAGCTCACAATTTCAATCGGAATGTGCTGTCCCTCGAACCCGGAAATCTTCGCAGTCGACAAAACGGAAATTACTTTACACGAGTGAATCACAAGCGACACGCTAATATGGCACACCGAGCGGGATCTCCTACAGAACGTAAAAAACAATCCAACGGATCAGCGACCGCGCGATTTTCGAGAACGAACACGTATCACTTCCATCCTGAGTGCGCTGAAGAAGAAGACAACGACGGGCGGCGGCGAAGAAGATAGAGAGAACGATCGGGGAGTATAAGAGGATAGACGGCACGTATACGCGGTCTCGATGAGTCCTTTCGGTATAGAACGAAGGTTAGTCTTGTCTCTCTTCATTCGGTTAAGCCTCGACAGATTCACGTAGACGCGTGAATCAAATCCCAGACGTCGCGTTCACGCGTCGCGTCCCCGAATCACGAGTCGTGCCTGTGGATTCTGTTCCTCCTGTTTCCGCTCTTCCTCCGTTTCCTTTTGGTATCCCTGGTGAACGCCACGTTCCCAGGATCGTCGGCTAACTGCGGGTATCTGTGCACGCTGTGTATGTCGACACCTTCGTAGCCGCTCACAGTGCC